TTGTTTCTAGTAGCTTCTTGTTACTACTAGTAAGGCACTTGTTACTAGTAGCGATGCACTTGTTACTAGTAGCTTATTTGTCCACTGAGTCTTCTTTTCGTTCGCTGAGAGGTGAGGCACTGTTGCTTCATCATCGGCCCAACGGGCGCTGGAAAGACTGAGATTTGGCGGTCCTTGGAAATGACCTTGATTGCCATCGGTGAGGACGGTTTCGACGACCAAAACGGTAAAAAACGAACACGCAACGCTTACGAACATGTTTTGAGTCGGTTCGGTAATACGTTCTTTGTGTTTCCCTCTCTCACGTTTTGTTTGTAGGACTGCCGATGGGAACAAGTGAATCCCAAAGCAATCACAGCCGACGAACTGTACGGGACGAACTTTAAGGCCTCGGAAAGCTTCAGACTTCTTTTCGTTTCCGTGCGTGCGTGTGTGTCTCTGTTTCTAATTGAACAAACAGCAATGACCTCCAACCTAATAGTTTCCGTGTGGGTGTATCCTTTCTTTGCTTGCCGGCTTGGCATAGGGCCTTGTTTAAGTGAGTGCCCAGGGCGAGTGGAAGGATGGTGCGATCTCGGTGATCATGCGGAACATGAGCAAGGAGCAACTCTGGTGGATACGCACTTGTTCCTAGTAGCGAACATTGTTACTACTAGCAAGGAGCATTTTCGCGTTGCTCTGCGGAATCCAGGAAATCAATGGATACAAGAGCACTCATTTGCACAAGTGGGTCGTTCTCGACGGGGACATTGATGCTACCTGGATAGAATCCATGAATACTGTTATGGATGACAACAAGGCGCTGGGATTGGGGAACCAAAGACGCACATGGCAAGCAACTGTTTTCCTCATGGATACTCATGGCGAAGCTGAACAACTCCAAACTTGTGAGAAATGTCGCTAGGTCCTGACACTGGTGAGCAATGAACGCATACCCTTCACGCCCACCATGAGAATGCTGCTGGAAATTCAGGCGAATCCAGTGTTTCGATGAAGTTGGGTAACACAAACCAGAGCATTTTTCCTGAAACCAGAACATGGATTGCTTTTTCTCCACTTGATCAGGATATGAAACATGCCAGTCCAGCGACCGTCTCACGTGGTGGCGTTTTGTACATCAACGAGTTCTTTGGCTGCAACTCTTGGACCTCACTGACGAATCTAAAGCTCGGCGCATTTCTTTCGTGAAGTCCCGGTCAGTTTCTAAAGCTTTGTACATAGTTCCTAGTAGCTACTTGCTGCTAGGAGTACGGCCAGGAGCCCCTAGTAGCAAGAGTGCACATGCTTTTCGCTTTCTTTTTTTGTTTCTTACCTGTTCACACCCGTTTTGAGTGTGAGTTGGGTGTTTTCAGGACAGATGTGGGATGGAAACCTTTTGTGGAAAGCTGGAGAGAGACTTTCCTGAAAGTGAAAGCTGGAAAGTTTGAAAATCTTTTTTTACAACCTTTTGAGCCCAGAACAGAAGTCTGGTTTAAAGTTTTGTGACGAAAACTCAGGAACAGATGGATCCGGTGGCGCAGAGCACTTTCTACATGCTCTTCACACATCAATTCGAGGCTCTCACCATTTGTAAGGGGTCGAACAAGAGAGAGGAAACAACAAGGTAAGTTAAGGGCTCTCTTTACTTTTTATCTCTTCCTCACTTTAACGGGGCCACGCGCACTTCTACACACTTTGAAAGACTGTTATTCCTTCTACGGTGGCCCATCGTAGCTGTAGCCCACGGAGGGCAACATTGAGCAGCTTCGAAAGAACTTCGCATTCACGTGCCCCATCTTGGATATGGGCTTCGTGGGGAGCTTGGAACAATCTGAGAGATCCTGACCGAAAGGCGGAAGACAGTGAAATATGGTGAAACAAGTGGCGAGGCCATTGGTGAAACATAGTTAAGAATGTGGAAGCTGAAAGCACCTTGACGGGTGCATCAATGTTGCGTCAATGATTAGACAGGTAGAGAGGAACTGTGTTTGGAGTATTTTCTTTACGTTGTATGTTCGTTTTGTGGTCGATTTAGGTCCAGACCGTCACTTGCTTGCTCGATGCCCTGCTGATGACAGATCCAGGCTGTAGTGCACATGTTTGCCAAAGACCTGCGCACCGGTGCTTTGGATTTGGTTCAAGTTTGTTGCTTGCAGCTCGACATGTCCATTCCAGGCACTGCGACAGGGAGAGATGCCGAAGGCCGTTTCGCCATACTTTCGGGTGCCAGAAGCGAAGGCCGTTTTCCAGTCCCGTCAGGTAAACACACCACCTTGGAATATCTCCGAAGTATGACCACCGAGGAGCCTGGGCAGACTCAGTCAGCTCCTTCAAGCACGGGCACAGTATGCATTGTTGTTTCCTTCCGAGCACTAGCTAGCCTTAGCTTTCCTTAGCTTGAAGCTTGGAACTTAGCATTTGCTTGTTTCCTCACAACTTGACACGTTCAACAGGGTTTGCATATTCATTAGCGCTCTTTTGTGCACCTCCTGTGTGTGAGCATCTAATAACATCTAATGACCGCAGCGGTAGACTAACTTGACTTTGGTCCAGTAAAATGTCCTGAGACAGAGTTAAGCTTCTTGAAAATTCTAGGAACAAGGACGCTACTAGGGGCTCCTGGCCTTACTACTAGGAGCAGTAAAGCTTTCAATTGAAGAGCAATTTGGGATCGGATGCGGGTCGTTGTTCCGTGCCAAATTGGGACCTGAAGACAGTTCCGCACTCCGCACCAAATGAAGAACAAGTGAACAACATGCAATGCTGTGGCAAGCATGAAGACACCGGTGCCACCGAAACTGCTACCGAAGGAGCTTGGCCGAGACAAGATGCAAAGGTCATTTGTGTTTCATGGGATGAACAGTCCTTTTATGGGAGTGCAAGCAGGGCAAGCAGGCCTTAGACTAACGTAGTCGAAAAGTGGGCTGGGACAGCCCACTGAACCTCGCCCCAAGAACACTCTCATCCACCACGAATCCTTTGCAAAAATGATTCATTGAATCTCTTCCAGTGCTGACAGATTTGGGAATCACATCTAGGCAATTTCTTCATACCATGTCCAGCAGCATTCCTGAGATCTGCCTAGGAACAGAAGGTGATCTACGAATCCTTTTTCACATTTGCGCTGATGTGGACTTTGGGTGGTGCAGTTGCAGATGTACGGGGCTCAATCATCGATGTGTTCCGTTTTCGTATATTTTCTACTAACTTCTTGTTCCTAGTAGTAAGGCACTTGTTACTAGTAGCGAGGCACTTGTTCCTAATAGCTTCTTGTTACTACTAGTAAGGCACTTGTTACTAGAAGCGAGGCACTTGTTCCTAATAGCTTCTTGTTACTACTAGTAAGGCACTTGTTACTAGAAGCGAGGCACTTGTTCCTAATAGCTTCTTGTTACTACTAGTAAGGCACTTGTTACTAGAAGCGAGGCACTTGTTCCTAATAGCTTCTTGTTACTACTAGTAAGGCACTTGTTACTAGAAGCGAGGCACTTGTTCCTAGTAGCTTCTTGTTCCTAGTAGTAAGGCCCTTGCTCCTAGTAGCGAGGCACTTGTTACTAGTAGCTTCTTGTTCCTAGTAGTAAGGCCCTTGCTCCTAGTAGCGAGGCACTTGTTCCTAGTAGCTTCTTGTTACTACTAGTAAGGCACTTGTTACTAGAAGCGATGCCCTTTGCACCTAGCTTTTTGTTCCTGTCACTTCCAAGGACAAGATCGTGAATCATCGGAAGGCTTTCAGTGCCACCTTGAGGCGCTTTACTGACGCCGTGCATATACCGCCCTTTGTTAGCTTCTTGCTCCGAGTAAGACTCATGTTCGATTTAAAGCCGAAAACTTCCGACTGGGCCTGACCGCCTTTTTCTGCGTTCAGATCGATGGCGCGTGGTGTGAAGTTGCCGGAAGTCGGTGAATGCTTCGATTTTCACTTCGAGGTGCAGACCAAGGCACGGCGTGAAATCGACTCAAATTTCTAGTTAGGAGCCCCTAGTAGCGTCCTTGCTCCTAGTAGTGATGCCGGGGTCCTAGTAGCTTCCTGTTCCTAGTAGTTAGGCCAGGAGGATTTAGGCTCGAGCCCACCGTCCCCACGGGGACCTGGCGATCCCGTTACCTCACGAAAGTGGGGCGCCGATCGAGCCATGGCATGGGATTGTCTGCCCATTACGACGACTTTTGCTGGAGATACGCTATGGAGAAAAGCCGGACATTTCCGCATCACCCCAATCCAAGTTTTGCAGCGGACCTTGCATTTTACTGTTTTGACCGCTACTGACGATGATGGGTCACGATTACGCTGAAGGTTGATCGACATCTGATGCCTTTATTCCATTCAGCATTTTCGTGCGTTATCATGTTCTGGTATGAGGGCGGCAGACTTCGATTTGGATGCCAGCGCCCATTGACTGCACGCCCAGCTGATCCTTTCTTGATGAATGATCAGCCACGGATGCCGAAGACTACCTGGGACTCTACATATCGACCTATGCCGGAGATTTTTGAGCCCTGGGCACAACTCTTCGAATCTTCCGAGCTATGTGCAGGATACGGTCTGGTATCCGAAGTGGACGAATTGTGTGAGCCATGGATGATCGGCCGTTTTGGTGTGTGTGAATCCCTTCAATCCCCACCAACTCGAAAACCAGATGACCAAACATTCCAACTTCAGCCTTCTCCGAGTCCGCAGACTTTTGTCAGCTCTACGGAGTCATTGTTGGATCATGAGGATCCTTATGAACCCTGGATGTACATCCATTTCTCTTACACAAGTGGTGAAGGTCACCCAAGTGACACATCTTCTGATGAAGCCTATCCAGAATGGTTTATTCCCAAGAAGTCGACTCCTAGCACTTCCGCTGGCAATGTCCACCGGGCTTCTTTTCAAGGCCCGAATGTTGATAAGTTTGATACATTGCAGAACTGTTGGCCGTTGGAACATTTCCTATCATGCCAAGGAAGCCAGAGTGGTTTTTATCGCTTGATTACTTGGATGAAGGCTTGTTTCTCTCCAGTTCTGCCACGACATGATGTGCAGACATCAGGATACAATGCCCGTTCTGACTGTAAATATGCACCTTCAGTCACGCTCCGAGCACCTGATTCCTTCACTGATTCGACTTGTTTCTGTGGTTGTCACCACATGATTCCTAAGAGATTGAAGGAGCCTAGTCCACATTTTGCATCGAAAGGCCGGAATTCACCGCATGTATTTAATTCATGCCAGGGTCCTGTACCCGGACATTCCATGACACCAACCAATGATTCCATATCAGCCAAGGGCCATGACGATTTTGTTAAACATTTTTGGGAACAAGAGTTTCAAGATCAAGCAAATAGTGGCTCCATCAGATACGACATCTTTGACCTTCGTCATTTCTGTCAGAAGCACCGTATCAGCTACATGAAGAATGGTCATAGGAACCACAAAGCCCTCACTGCTGGACCGCAAATAGCAGGGAGAAAGAACAATTTCTCCGACTTCTCATCTCTGTCCCACCAAAGACAGGGGTGGCGTGATGTCAGCCCAACCGACTTTGATCTTATCGATGACCAACCAACTGATCACAACCTGGGTTGTGTGCCTACTTTTCCTTTTTACCCGGAATGGCTGAAAAGGAAATCATTCAAGAGCACACGAGATGTATCAATTCCTCCTCGGGTTTGTTTTCAGTCAGCTATTTCTCACTCATTGAATCAGAACAACTTTTATGCCACTCAGCCTGGAAAGAACCACCGCAAAAAGATTTGTCGACCTGAAGATCCAGCAACTACATCTGCGATCCCAGATACAAAACGGCTACATCCACAACGAGCAGGAACCACACACGGTGGAGCTGCACCTATTCCCGACAATGAAGTACAGATCCAAGTTCTACCTCTCGACGCACAACTTATAGACCCAACAAATGCTGCCCTTTTGTGGCCCTATGACATGGCCTCAAATGTGTTTGAAGACTCAAGATCATGCCAACAGTGTCTCATCAATACCGAAAATGACTCTCTCCTTGTGGACCCGATGGTAACTCTTCAGTATCCACAGCATCAGACTATATCCAGTGGGACTACGGGGACTGCACTTTACCGCAACTACAGCGAGCTCCACGACTACGATCAACGTATTTTTGGCGACTTCGCGAGCCCCGGGTCTCTCCGAGACCTTTTATCAGGAGAGCCTTTTCCTACACATGTCAGCGGCCGGACGGTCCATGACTGGGATGATATTCCTGATATTAGCTTGCACGAAGCTATGCCAATGACAGTACACGGGTTGCAGACCAAACTTTTGGATTCTGTTAGTCTTGTGTCAGGTACTTCGTGTCCACAACAAGGTGATACTATATCTCGTGGGGCTGTACCCGTTTCCAACAGCGACCTATTGACTGACTCTTCCGATATATTCAAGACTGACATGCAAAAAGACATTCCTGCCCATACGTGGCCTCTTCACATGGATCCAATTTTGCGCGAAGATCGACGACCATGTACTCTGCTTGTCTCTGATGTACACGTTCTTACCCAGTCGTCAACTTCGATGACAGAATCTCAGCTTCCACAGCCAAGTACTACCTCCAGTGGGACTGTACCCATTTACAACCTCCGCAAGACTTCGGACTATGCTCGACGCTCATTTCCAGTTCTCGGTGCACAGACCCTTTTCAGAGACTTTTCGCCGCAGAACGCTTCAGATCGATTTTTGGATCAGTTATTTCTTGATTTCAACCATCCAGGTCCACTACAAGAAGTTACTATATCTCTTGGGGCTGTACCCGCTTCCAACCACGATTCGTTATCCTTCTCTTTGGATTTCCCTGTGATCTACGAACATCCAAGCAATTCTGCCTTTACGTGGCCTTATCACACGGTCTCTACACTACGTGAAGATCTCCAGCCGTGTCCCAAACACTCTTTTGATATTGGCATTCTTATTCAGCACACGAATTTGATGTTCGATATTCAGCTTCCACCACCGAGTACCACATCCAGTGGGACTGTACCCATCTACTTCGGTGACGCCGGGTACTTAGGGACTTATAAGTTACTTACAGGCTACTTACAATGGACTTATAAAAGTATGTTTTATGTTCTACTTATAGACTACTTATAAGTAGTTCCTAAGTAGCTAAGTAGGATGGTGCTGTTTTTCAAAGAAAAAATGAAAAGTAGAAAAAACGCTCATTGCAGAAGCCACACAATCAGTCCATCTTTGCGAAACAGGAGAGGAGATTGTTTCTTTTCGACAATGGAACTCGAGATGTCTTGCAAGTCAGGCGGACTTGACAAACTCCACTGCGTCAGACCTGCCGTCTGAGAGACGCCCCCGCAGGCCGTCAAGACGCGCACCCCCAATTTGTAGTCGCCATCTATCACCTTTGATTCCAAAATCTCTACTGCAGTGCGCGCACTTAGCGCGATATACTGCCCAGGCACGATCAGGCGGCCATCCAAGGACAGCGCAGTTGTTTGAGCCCTTTTCACTATGTCCTTGCCAAGCACCGTCTCTCTGTGGGGCTGAGTCTCTCGTAGGTTGAGCTTGAGCAACACCGTGCGCGTAAAGTCCTTTCGACGACAAACGTTGCTGTGCGCATAGCTCTTGTAAGCCCGATGCTTTCGCTCACAGCAAAAGCAATCGAGGAACTTACCCCACATTTGACATTGATCTGCTATGTGGACGGCCAAATGAAACTTCGGTCGGACGACGTCTCGTCCATAGGCCTCCACAAACTTTTCCATGTGAACTTTTTGACTCACGCGAAGCCTATCTAAAATGCCTGGGTTCCATTTGATGTCTTGTAACAGAAGACAGACACGATGAAGCGCGCACAGACTCTCGACCTGTGGTTTCAAGTGCTCCGGCATGGCTTCCAGGGAGTAGGCCACACAGATTGGAAGCGCGGCCATGCACTGGCCAGCGTCTCCCCTGTAGTCCATTTCTGGCTTCAGTAGCTTGGAAGAGACATACGACTCCCACGGACGCTGATGCAGAGCAGATCCCGGGACCGCTTCCCATAGACAGACATACTGTTTCAGGCTGGCTTCGCAAACACTGCCACCGAAGTGTTCGCAGGCAGCTGTCCACCACAATCCTAGTTCTTGGGCAACTAGACCATTGGAATAGTAGATGCGCATAGGATCCACGTGCAAGTGCTCAAGACGAATCCAACCGCGTAGGTCAGGATTGGTCAGAAAGCTCGCTCGAAGCTCTTCCCTTTTCCAGCCCAACAATTTTTCTGCCTCCATCAACTCCCCTTTTTTCGTGATGCCGGTAAGATGCTCAAAGATAGCCATCAGTTCTTCATGAGAACACAGCTGGCAAAGCTCAGGCGCTCCGGTAATGTCCACGTAGCCGGGCACTGACCGACCGTTGGCGACAACATTAGAACATTTCGGGCAAGGACGGATGCCCGCAGCACCCTTCCAGCCTGTTGCCATGCGCAGACCATCAGCGTCCGCCAAAAAAAGAACTTCAGTGCAGAAAAGCAGATCACAGTCCCCCTCACTCCAACCAACAGCAAAGCCATCACGCGTGCTTGCACGGGCGGCCATGAGCGCCCTATTCAAGACACCGGCACACCCACCTTCCGCTGTAGACATTTCTTCGCTACGTATCAGAAAATACGTCAGCCACATGGACTCCAGCCAGAGATGCGAACACTCCAAAAAAGCAATATAGCCAATCAATGCCTTTCGGCTTGGATCTGGTCGTAGCGGGTTTCCGGCTATGACTTCGTCCACGTACAGAATCATGCGAAGGTGGCCTCTGTGTTGCCTCACAGCGGAGTGCAAAATTTTATTGAAGACCCCACACGCATGTACTTTCTGTTGAACTAACGCAGGAATGTCTAGCAAAGGCATCTGCACATCATTGCCGACGTCCACGATGCGCACAGCATCGATGATGCCGGCATGTGCGTGTCTCAGCCGAGAGCACGCTCTACTGCCTCTACCTTCT